AAAAAAAAAAAAAAAAAAAGTATGGGAATTCAGAAGGAACAAACACTCCTGGCTTGAGAGGGTCTTAGATACATTCTTGTTACTGAGACACAATACCTGATACCTGTAACTTAAAGAAAACAAAGTTTATTTTGGTTCATGTTTCAGCAGCTTCAGTACTCCCATGCTTGGCTGGCACTAAGGCAGGATGGCTTGGCTGGCACTAAGACAGGAAGCAGAGCAAGTGGAGGGAGAAGTGGGGGAGGGGCTAAACCAAGCCACCCCCGCAGTGGATCACCTCTTCCAACCAAACACCACCTCCTCAAAGCAAGCCAGCAATAAGCCCTAGTACAATCACCTTCCAAAAGCACCACTTTTAAGTGTATGGGGATTTGGAGAGACATTTACATATAAACCATAACATTCCACCTCTGGCCTCTCAAAGACTCATTTTTATCTTTTTATGAAAAATGGATTTAGTCCATCTCTAAGATTTGCCAAATCCTATAGTTGCAGCACTGCTGAAAAGTTCAAGTTGAAAGTCTCCTTTGAGACTTAGGGCAAATTCTCAACTGTGAGCCCTCCCAAAAATCAAAAAGAAAGATACCACTGCTGATAAATAATCACCCAGAGGAAACATTTTCATTAAAAAAGGGGGGAGGGAGGAGACCATGTGTGGTGACATATGCCTGTAATCCCAGCACTTGGGAGGGTGAGGCAGGAGGATGGCTGTCAATTTGGCCAGCCTGGGCTACATAGTGATTCAAGGCCAGTCTGAAGACTGTCTTTAAAAAAAAAAAAAAAAAAAAAAGAGGAACCCGGCATGGTGGTACACTCCTGTAATTCCAGCACTCCCAAGGTTGAGAAAGGAGGATCATTGCTGTGAAGTTTGAGACCAGCCAGGGGCTACAGGCAAAAAAAAAAAAAAAAAGGAAGAAAGGGGATAGAAACCAAGGGGATGAAAACAAGACCAAATCTAGCAGGGAAATTGTTAAATCCTGTAGTTCCACATCCAGCACCCAGGACAAGTTGTGGCAAGACATACTTTCCCACAGGCCTAAAGCAGACCTGCCCCTATGGCACTGCTGGTGGTTATAACTTTCAAGGCTTTTCTCTTAGGTGGTTTTGCTCACTCTTTGAGGCTTTCCTCAGCTATTCCATAGCCAGGCATGGTGGCACATGCCTGTAATGCTAGCACTTGGGAGTATGAGGCAGGAGAATTGCTCTAAGTGCAAGGCCAATCTAGGCTACATAGTGAGTTCAAGGCCAGCCTATCCTATAGTGTGAGACCCTTAAAAAAAAAAAAAAAACAGGGCCTGGGAGATAGCTCAGTGGCAATAAGTACCTGCCTAGCAAGTGCAAGGTCCTGAGTTTGATCCCTGGTACCCCCTCCCCCCAAAAAAGGACAATCTGTATTCCTTCCTGGCTTCTCCAACTTCCTGAGATCTTCACAGCACTGTTCACCTGCACAGTTTCAAATACACTCCCTGGTCTCCCAGGCCTTCTTCTGAAATCTAGGTGGAAGCCTCCACAACCGCCAAACTCTTACGTTCTACATGCCTGCAAAATCAGCAACCTGTAGGTGATGCCTGGGCCTGCTGCCAGCTGAAGCACTAGCTGAGTTCTTCTGTATCTTGCTGTTTACAGCTCTGAGTGGCTGGGTAGATGAACACGGTGAGCTGAATCCCATGCAATCATTTCACTAGGCTGTTTGTCTCCAACAGAGTGCCCAGGGGCTCTCTTCTCAAAGCAAAGCTTTCACTTTTGTAACTCTGAGCCTATGAAGGGTGGGGTCTTGCTGGTTCCTGTGATGTCCTCATGAAACTTTTTTCTACTGTCCTGTTGTGAAGCACTGGCTTCTTTTTAATGCTAGTCTTTTCAGAAACAAAGCCCTCCTCCACCTTTATAAGCCTTTCCTTTCTTGGGAAACTCAAAACTTTTCAAATGGACTTCCTGCTCTGGAATTTCAGTATAAACCTGCCTAATTCCAGTCATGGTGATGCATGCCTGTTATCCTGTAATCCCAGCAGTCCATAGGCTAAGGCAAGAGGACTGCCCTCAGTTTGAGGATAGCCTGGGCTACACAGTGAGTTCAAGACCAGCCTGGACTACATACTGAGATGCTGTCTCAAAAAACCAACTGACAGGGCTGTGGAGATAGCTGAGTGTCAAAAGCGCCTGTCTAGCAAGTGCAAGTTCCTGAGTTTGATCCCTGGTACCAGAAAACCCCAAATCAAACCAAAATGACAACAACAACAACAACAACAACAACAACACACACACACACACACACACACAAACCAAAACAAAACAAAAAAAACAAAGCAAAAAGAACCAAGTCACCCATCCACTCACATACTCTTTCTCTCTCCCTAAAAGCAGCATGAAGTACCCTGGTCAAAACTAGGCTGCCTTAAGTATTAGTTCCAAAACTGGGCTGCCCTAAAATTCCCCTCACCAGATTAATAAGCCTATTGCCCATTACTTCAATCTCATTTATTTTATTTTTATTTTTATTTTTTTACATTTATTTATTGTGTGTGTGTGTGTGTGGCCAGCTCAGCCCACCAGGGGGCTGGGCTGGCTGGCATGTGGTGCTGGGGGATCGAACCGCGGTCCCTGTGCTTTGCCAAGCTTGTTCCAAGTAGGCGCTTTAGACCACTGAGCCATCTCTCCAGCCCCCATTACTTCAATCTCTTGCAAAGTCTCTGGACATGAACAAAATACAGACACATTTTTTGACAGAGCACAACACATCCAACTGTCAATGGAGTCCTTCACAACTAAAACAACTGAAGTATCCTGAGCCTGGTCTTTACCATCCATATTTTTATCAGCATTCTGGTCTTCTGAACTCTGACTGCAATCTTCTATAGAGTTTGCTTACAGCATTCTAGGGCTGCTCTCTGGCTGGCATCTCTAAACCTTTTCATACTTCTCTTGCTAATCTGTTCCAAAGCTGATGCCAAAGATCAGTCCTTCCCTGAAGCAGCAAAAGGGCAGACTTTCTTTCTCTTTGATTCAGGCTACCAACCTACTGGATGATGCTACCCATGAACAACGCTGGACTTCCTTCCTCAGTTTTCAGCCCACATGTCACACATGCACAGACACACACTGAGAATAGTGTACCACTAGTCCATTAGGAGGTTTTTTTTTTTTTTTTTTTTTTGAGTCTTGCTTTGTAGCCCAGGCTGGCTTCACAGTAATGGCAATCCTGCTTTAGCCTTCCGAGTGCTGGTATTACAGGCATGCACCACCACAACAGCCTTTTGTTTTTTTGAGACAAAGTATGCTGATGCAGTTCAGCATGGCCTTGTACTTACTATATATTCCATTCTGGCCTCACATCTATGGCAATCTCCTGCCTCAGCCTCTGGAGTGCTGAGATCACAGCTGTACACCACTATGCCTGGCTACTAGGTGTTTCTTTTTTCTTTTCTTAATGTATTTAGTACA